TTGTTTATGATGACTTTTGTTTTTATTTGTCCTGTTGTTCCTGAACTAAAGATCACGTTCCAAGTTTTTTCTAAAACCTGTTTTGATGTCAGAGCAGCGGGACAGCACGTGTTTTTATGTTGTGGCACCACACTTTAGAAGAAAGAGAATAAAATGGAGTATTGTCATTCATGAAGGGCAAATTTACACTCAATATGTTTTATTACAACACCTTAAATTATGTCTTATTTTCTTTTTGGATGACTTTGTAAAATGTAATTAACTATTCTGAAATATAATTATTATTATTTTTGTGCTTTGAGTCAAACGCTCATCACATCAGCTTACTACATCATTTAATTTTATGCTTTGTACCATATTTATTAAAATAAAACACTGATATTATGGATTTATTTTCTAAAAACCAAAAACCAAATAAAAAGTTTTAATATTTTGTTGACGAACTGTTGTCCTTGGAAGGCAAATCTTGACTTAAAGCTCACAGCAGGGCATAATTGATTTTATTTATTTTAAATAAAGTACGTTAACTTTGAACTTTCATCAACCCAGATAATTGTATCTGATCATTTTTCTTTATGTTTATAAATAAATAATTCTTTGTGTATATAATCTCCCAAGCTTCAGAAAACTGACTATGAAACAACACAGCACTTATGCATTTCACTCAGTTGTTTTTTTTTAATGCCTACCCACCATATTTCATAACTTTCTTTTAGAAAGGAGGAATTTTTCACCTGGTATGGCTGAAAAAAAAGAATCAATAGGAGTCGTTTCAATCTTTTATTAAATTGGGGTTCTGCGGAAAGTTATGAATACTTAACATCTTACATGCTGTAGATGACTCATCATAGAGATTAGCCGATACAAATGCTATTTTATAAACCTTTTCACCATTATCAGGTTCCCATTAGACAGGTATTCTGTTAGAAATAATATATTCCTGTAGGAAGTGCCACAGGTTGCACCAGAAGTGCTACAGCTAGCTGCTGCTTCTTTTTGTTGTTGGAAAATAACCACATAATTCAGTAACAATGTAAACATTTAAAATAGTTTCCACATGAACCACTGCTTTTTTTTATTTAAGTGGTTTGACAATGGCAGCAACACACTTTGGTTTTGTCTCCATTTAGCATTTGCAAATTTGTCACAAAGAGACCATCATTTTTTTAGGGAGCGTGTCCTTACGCTGCCTGGCCAAGACTTACTCCCTCCGAGCCAACACAGCCACAGAAAGCCACCGGTGTCTCTGCTCTGTCTCCTACATGCATAAAAACAGAATTTTCTCACAGTCTTGGCCATCTGCTCCTCAGCAGTCAAAGTAAAATGACACCATTGCTGTTCACCTGCTTTTTCACAAACACACCCACAACAAAGATTTGACCAATTACACAATAGTTGACACATGAGAAAATGTCCTTCCAGTTTTTTGGAGCGATTCTGGAGGAACTAAATTATGTTTATTTCGTCACGAAACTACAGTGTAAGCAGATTTCACATCCTACGGAGAATGAGTCTAGCACAAGGATTCAAATACTGTAGCAACAAGTTCACTAATTGGACAGTACTGTGTTTGACTGTATTACTGGGATGTAAATTGACTCAAGTGATATAAAATGTTTTTTTATTGTTTTTTTTTTAACAAAAGTTTAGTTTTAAGCCAAAAAACACACCATGAACTTCACAGTGTGTTGTTTCTTTAGAAGTTTGTCAACAGACACCATAAGATGCTGGAGTTTGCATGTTCTCTCCGTGCATGCGTGGGTTTTCTCCGGGTACTCCGGTTTCCTCCCACAGACCAAAAACATGCATGTTAGTCTGATTGGTAACTCTAAATTGTCCCTAGGTGTGAGTGAGAGAGTGAATGGTTGTTTGTCTCTGGCCCTGTGATGGACCTGCGACCCGTCCAGGATGTACCCCGCCCCTCGCACAGTGATAGCTTGACATGGGCACCGGTGACCCCCGTGACCCAAAATGGAAGAAGCGGGTAAAAGATAATGGATGGATGGATATATATATATTCTTTTCTGCCTGATCAGCCCATTTTTTAAACCATATTGGCTAGATTGCCAGGCAGTGTCTTTTTATTCTTTTACTATTGTCTTCAAGACAACATTTTGGAATATTTCTCAACCTCAAAAATTAATCTTTCATCATCCATTTTTATGCTTTTGGTATGAGATGGTGCCACAACTATTTAAGAGAATGAAAATTGCCATAACAAGCATGAAAGAAGGGCTACTACAGGAACCTGAATGTCCAAGCAGGAAACAAGTACAACAAAAAAATCTATTCCTCGGGGAGTGGCAACCATAGACATAGGCTATACAGTATATGTAGACGCCTCATGGAGCGCTGAATTGTACGCCGACGTGCTGCCATATTGGATGTGGCAAATTTGAAGCGATAGGATGCCTCATTCCTTTAGAGCAGCAACACATGGAAAAAACTGTGCAAGATTCTTTTCCAAGATTATAACTTACATGCACATATGGCTAGATTTAGACACACGTATATGTCTATGGTGGCAACAGTGTCACCAAATATCATTGGACACCACAGAACAGTCCGTTGATCATATGTCCAGACCTTACTGGTGTGGGCTTATACCCTAAAATGATGGAACCATGACTTTTGACACATCATACACTACAGTGATTCGGCACATTACTGAAAACTACTGCAATATGTCAATGTCAATGTCAATGTCAATTTATTTATATAGCACATAAAAACAACAAAAGCTGACCAAAGTGCTTTACAGTTAAGACAGATTAAAAATAAAAAAAAAGAGTAAAAATGCATCTAGTGCCACTCAAAAACATAAGTTGACAATAAAAACAACACATAACAACAATAAAATCAGCTCAACTTGTTCTCAGACTCTGCGTGGATGAAATGCCAAGGAATACAGACGAGTCTTGAGCAAAGATTTAAAAGTCTCAACAGTCTGAGCGGTCTTTAAATTCTCAGGTAAACTGCAAAATATATGCAATTTAAGAGCTGTCTACAGCAAGCATAAGACAATATTAATAGTTAATAACTTTTCTACATAACTCCACTTCAAAAGATCTGAATTATTGATTTTAGCTTGTTTGGAGTATGGTTATTTTGTTGCTTTTTGTTGTACTTAGCTGTTCATTCAACCTTTACTTAGACAGGTTAGTCCCATTGAGCCTCAAGGACTCATTTACAAGAGCATTAGAGTAGCATTTATTCCCCCTCAAGTGAATAAATATTTTGGTACATCACATGTTCGAAATTTAGCACGTGTTAGACATTAATATGTTAACCCCGTGAGAACATAAAGGCGCTGGAGCTCAAAAACAGAAACTACAACTGAGCTAACAGTAGCTGACATGACAAAAAAGGTTGAATCATGTCATCTGGACTTCGTTTTTTTGTTAAAAAGAAACGTTTCGCCCCTCATCCAAGAGGCTTCGTCAGTCTGAGGCCTAGCCATCTGGTATTACCCAGAAGCCACCCTGTAGCTGACATGTTTTTTTTATTTATTTTTTTTTTTATTAAAGATTTTAATCACACATTACAAACATCTGTTTGCCAGGGGTATAGATATTAATGTAAAAGAGATAATATTCAAGTACAAAACATAAAAAACCATGAAATTATATTTACAATTTATACAGAGTTTAAATTCACATTAAGCTTTTCCAGAGTTGAGATGGTTTTCATTGCCTTTTGGTTTTCCAGTCCATTAATTGAGGTGATGTATTGAAGAAGTTCTTTGCTGAAATGGGTTATGTTTGGTTTGGAGTTGGACCATTTTTTCTTGTGAATGTGAAACTTTCCCAGGAGAAGTAGAAGTTGGGTGAAGTGCAATAAGTCTTTATTCGTGCCTTTGTCTTCAAAGCATAGTATAATGTCTTTCTCTGTAAGCTGAATTATTTGTCCAGTTTTTTGCTGTATGAATTGTTGCACATCTCTCCAGAATGAGATTGTATGAACACATTGATAGAATAAATGAGAAATCGTTTCTATGTGTAGTTCACAGAATGTACAAGAATAGTCAATGTCAAGTTTAAATCTTTCCAGTGTTTTTTTAACAGGATATACATTATGAATAATTTTATATGAAACCTCTTTAACTTTGTTTATTATGCAAAATTTTTCCCCATTTAACCACATCTGCTTCCAGTTAACTCCTTCAAATATGGAAGACCAGAAAAATCTACCAGTAGGCAGAGTGATCTTCTGCAGACAAGTTCTTATGAGTTTGTTGGAGCATGTTTTTTTTGTTACATCGATTCCATCCAGCATTACGGGGCTTCTAAGTTGGTCTCTAGGCAAATTGTTCAATTTTGTTCCTTTGAAGAGCTGCCTCATAGATTTTGGTAGAGCATCAAAAACTACAGCATACTCTTTAGGTGTTACAGGAATTTTAAGTCTAGTCAGAAATTCAGTGTATGTCATAAAGGTTCCATTATCATTTAATAGTTGTTGTACGAGCATAATTCCATTTTCCATCCAATTTTTGTAGTAAAGCGACTTGTTCTTATATAAAATATTCCCATTGTTCCAAATGCAATATGTAGTTGGGGAGAAGTTGTGTTTGTAGGCAAGTTTCCAAGACAGGAGAGCTTGTTGGTGAAATCTCGATAACTTAATAGGTAATTTTTCAATTTTATAATCACATTTTAATAAAAATTGGATTCCTCCTATCCGCTTAAAAATATGGTTGGGAAAAGTGTTCCAAAGCGTATCTTTTCCTTTTAATAAGTTAGTTAACCATTTAATTTTAAAGGAATTATTTAGCATTTCAAAACTTAGGACATCTAGACCTCCAAATGTTTTATTATTACAGAGAATATCTTTTTTTAAGTAATGGCATTTATGTTTCCATATAAAGTCAAATAATGTTTTATCTAAGTTTTTGCATACATCTTTTGGCATCTCTAATGATAAGGAAGGTAGCTGACATGGTTAACTGACTGGGGATGACGAACGTGACGTCTCTGCGTCGCTTACGTCACTGACGGAGAAAACCGAAGTCTCCCGAACAGCCGAGTACCAGTCTGGTGTGTAAACAAGGTCAGGCTTTGCAGCTCACAGGCGACACAGGCTTTGAACTGGACAGAGCTCGCCTTTTTAACAAGAACACAATCCCCAGGAATCTGTTAGATCAGGTAAGCTGCTGTATGTCTGTTGTGAAGTTTCACCATCAATTGCAACATTGATGCATGACGCGCCGCAGCGTTAAATTTCCATTAAAAGCTGGATAATGTGTTGAACAATTGCTCCTATATATATATATATATATATATATATATATATATATATATATATATATGCCACTTTGCAGAAAGTGCGCCTTCAACGCAGCTCTGCGGGGGATTCTGCGCAGTCATCAGCTGGTGCTCTGCAGAAGCTGCGTAGTCATGGTTTCTGATAACATAAAGTAAGCATTCGTTGCTTTATTTAGAAATTTAAATAGTTTTAAATTAAGGTGGATTGCAATTTCATTTCACCTGGATGTTTTGTGTTAAACTAGCTCATGAACAAACAGTTGCAGAGTGCTGCATGACATGCTGGTATGGCCTCCTCTGCCCAAGTAGCACCGTCTAATAGTACAGTATAATGTAAATGTCTCAAATCAAACTGTGCATCCAGACTGTTTCAGAGGCGGAGAGAGATTGAAGCCAGTTGTTCTGCAGGATGAGTGGAGGATGAAAGGCAAGGAGGGTTAGTCAAGGACACAAGCAGACAGGCAGCTGTAGACAAATAGCTGGAATCATGAAGACCAAGTCACATCTCAGACTGGTTTGCTTTTGTCCTAAATGTTCTCCAAGATTTGCTCAATTTGTTCCCCTCACTTTCTTAAGTTTCACACCATCTCACCTTTGTGCATGTGTCATAAACATATTTGTTATGTTGCATTGGGCAAAAAAAAAAGTCCATAGTTACCCTCAAAAGGGAAGGGAAAGAGCTTGGTTTGCATGTGAGTTTGTTCAGGTCACACAAATGGAACAGGTCGCTGCAGTTTAAAGGCTTGAGAACTTCTCAGTTTGCATTGAAAAAATACATCTTGAAAAAACATCAAAGACGTCGGGTTTGCCTTTTACATGAACTCTTAAGACTATTTCTGGTCTTTGTTTTTCAAGTTTGACCTGCTGAAACATTTAACAGAAAAGTAATTCTCTAATTTCCCTAGATGTGTTTATTTTGTACATACCGTATACCATAAGGTGCAATATCAATGAATAAAGGTTTGTAAGCTAAAAAAAAAAAAAAAAGGTTTGTAGGTGCAACCTTCCAGGTAGATAACAACAAAAACAACAACAAAAAAGGTTAAATCATGTCATCTGGACCAGTTTCAAGGGAGAAATGCTTCATCTTCCATACGGAAGACTTCATCAGTCTGTGGCCTGACAACCAGATCTGTCCCATAAGTAGCTTTCACTGCTGTGTTTCAAGCCAACTTCCTGTTGGAATCTCAAAATCAGGCTTTTAACAAATGCAAAAGGACCCATCTGTCCAAAACAATCAATCATCATGTATAACAATCGTGTCTGCTTTCATACATAAGGCGCACCGGATTACAAGGCGCATTAAGCAAAACAAGACAGTCAGATAAGTCAAACTTTATTCAACTCATTCACAGTAACCACATAAAATCAGTTTGAGGTCAGTAAGCACAACCAGAATTAATACATAAGGCTCACCTGAATATAAGGCTCACTGTCGATTTTTCAGAAAATTAAAGGAGTTTATAGGCCTGTCGCGATAAACGATAAATCAATTAATCGCATGATAAATGAAAATGATCAACCTCATTTTCATTTATCGGCTTTATCGTTTCTTCGTGTCTCTCTCTTTCTACTGAAGACACTGGATGACAAAAGGCTCAACTCCGGTGCTCTTCACTGACCCCTCTCTTTCTCTTTAAATTCCATTTTAACTGTCCAAAATCACGTTTTTGGATTGTTAAAAGCAGCCATGTTGAGAAGCTAAGCTAAGAGCTAAGCTAACAGGCTGACCTCGGGGAAAAAAAAACTTCTGTGTGATGATTTCTAGGCAGGAGACCCATTTGGTGCAGGCAGACAGGCAAGACTCAAGGAATATAAATCAATAATTTATTATTTACAAAATAAAGACGGCTGACGGGGCAGCAGACTTACATAAATCATGGGACAGGACGCAGGATACAAGGAGCAGGACACGAGGAGCATAACAGGCATCACAGTGACACAATGACCTGGCAATGAGGGACGCAGGCAAACAGACTTAAATACACACACTACGAGACTAACACAGAACACCTGTGAAACATCACAGGTGCAGTCATCAGAGGGGGAGCAGACAAATATAGAACACTAGAGGGAGACAGAGACCAGGGAAAGCACAACTCTTACACTCTGTCTTGTCGAAGCTCCAAAATTCACGGTTGAAACCCGTGCCTTCGTGTAAAAAGTTGTTTTTCTCTGCAAAAAGAAGCTGAGAACTTGTTTACTGATTTTTTATTAAAAGCTTTGTGTGGAAAATGCTATGCTAAAAATCAAATCACACCGAGCGTCTGCAATTTTGAGACCCAAGAAAGGAAGTAGAGACAGCCCACGTCAGGTCAAGGGGCCTCCCTCCCATTTTTCTTAAAGAGACACGCTGCTCGCTCCCTCACTATCCATCCTTCGGTTCAAACAGTCTCATACTGCCATCCAGTGGCCAAAGAAAGGTACTACACTCAAAACAAATTAACAATTTATTCTTAAATTTAACAATAATTACTAATTATTGTCAAATTTCAAACCATATTTTCGTTTATCGCAATAATTTCTGAGACAATCACCCAGTAAAATTTTTTATCGTGACAGGCCTAGGATTTTAAGTGCACCTTATAGTCTGAAAAACACAGTACTTCAGACATTTTGACTTGACATTCTAGTATCTTACCTGTTGCAGATAGCTCTTTGAACAGAGTTCCATTCTGAATGGACAGACGAGCTAATGTCTGGTCTGATCGCAGCCAAGACCAAAGTGGACCGCTCAAAACAGGACCAATTAAAAAAATTCAGTTAGTTTGTCAATAAGCTAAAAGTAAACACTATTTTACCCAACTGAGGTTATTTACAGAGCTATCTACAGCAGGTAAGATGTTAACTGTTATATCGTCCACAGAGATACTTTAAAAGATCTGCACCATCTCTTTAGGCTTGTTTCAAGCTGTGGCGTTTTATCTCACTGTGAAGTTTCTCTGAGCAGAAAGGTGAAGTTTCCACCTCATGTTTAACGATCTTCATGCTGGTGTTTTAGACGTAAACATTACCCTTCCTCCAGTTCAGAGTCCAACCTCTTTCAAGCAGTAAAGTCTGTGGAGACGTGTCCTTGAAGACCTACAAGTCACCGTGCAGGAATTCCTTTTAAACTGCTGGGATTGATCTTAAATTTGTCCTTGAAACGTTGCAGTCGTGCAGCTCCTCATGACGCAGCCGCTGACGAAGACGGAGCGGCGGAGGTCACGCTTTGTTTATATCCTATTTTTTCTGCAGCAGCTTTTATTTGTGTTTCTGCAGGTGCAGCGAGGCGGACAAGATGATGCAGTGTTTCCACTTCATGGTGGAGCCGGCCAAACAGCTGACGGCCAAGATTAAGGCCAGCACTTTTTTTTTTTTTTTACTTCTAATAAAAACGTTTATTCATCATCCCTCTTTTGGGTCACCTTGGTGTTTAAGTAGACAGTTGACATGAAAACATATCCAAACAACATGATTGCACTTAACTGCAGCGTTGTATTCATGATTTTTTTTTTCCTCCCAGGAGTCAAACAAGAGGGCAAAGCAAGAGAAGAGGGAGCCTCTGGTTGAGGATCAGTTATTTGTTGTGGAGCTGGCTCGAGACCTCAGCCGGGTGTGCCAGGTACAACCTTCATCTTAAGGAGATAGTTTAGATCAGGACTGATCAAATAAACTGCTCGGGGGGCCACAGTTACTGACAGCCAGCAGCAATTAAAGGCATTCTGTAAATAAAGTATTAAAATGATCTGTTACCTTTTAAATTAATTAGTTTATTAAATGCAACAAACAGAACACAAATATGTAATTTAAAGCAATTACATTTCAAGATTTATTTCCTTACGATAAACATATTGATATTCTAATGTGAAACAATATTAAAAAAAAGACACACCATGCCTCCTATTTAACACAAATCATATGACAACATTGCCAAATCTTTACGCTTTTCAAAATATATATAAAAAAAGATTATTTTAATGTTCCCTGAACGACCAACACGTTGCTGTTCCAGGTGGGTCCATTAAGAACCAGCTCTAGTTTAAAATAAAGTGGCTGCACAGACCAGTTCCTCCACAAACGGTTCATAAATCACAGGTGAAGCGTCCACATCCTGCTCAGGTGTGAGCTTTGAGTGGAACTGAAAGAGGCGGAGCAGAACTCAGCTGGGCTGAAAGTGAGCGAGATTTTGTTAATGTCCTGTTCAGGTTTACTTTGGTGTTTATGTTGAAGTCTCTGTTATTGGCTGTAAAGTGACACCATGAGTCAGAGGTCATTACCGGTATGTGTAAGGAGGAAAGCGCAGTGATTTAACAGTGAGTATCCTCCCAGAACAATGAAGTCATAAAGTGATGCCTGTGACATTGTGTTGTGTAAATCAATGCTTTCAGTGGGGAGGGGCTCTTCTTAAAGTGTTCTTCTGTATGCTTGTGAAAATGTTGAGCACATTTCTTTTTATTAATGAACTCATCAGTGGGCCGGACTTAAGTCACCCACGGGCCGGAAGTGGCCCGAGGGCCGCCAGTTTAATATCCCTGGTCTGGATTTTTTAAAATCAGGTTATGTTGAAAGATTAAGAGCAAATAATATCTTACCTGGTGTACATAGCTCTTTGGAATGTCCTTCGTTTAAATCTGACCAGACTGATGAGTTAACTGCTAGTCCAGCCATCGCATGGGTCATTAAAATGTTATTTATAAAACTTTTACACCTCCATTAGTTTACTTTGTTATTCCAACACAAGTATTATGAAATTCCAGCAGGAAGAGCCTAAACTAGTTCTTGTTGCCATCATTCTTGCAAATAGCCGTAAAATCCTGTGTAATTAAAAACACACAAATGACATCAATGTATAGGGTTATAAAAACATGTTTATATAAATAACTTTAAGTTTAACTCGTACATGAGCATTCAGTTTTTATCTGTGATTAAAAGTTATTTTTTTTAGCCGTGGTTTCTGTTTGTAAGCTTTTAATCACGTTTAAAGACCATCATATTTTTTTTGTTGTTGTTGCTTCAGCAAAAGATAACGTTTTGTTTGTGAATTTTAAAGGCATAGCAACTTTTAAGCTTAAATGACCAGAATGAAGTGGAGAGAGCACAATTTTAGCTGAATTAGGCTGAGAAAAGTTGAAATGAGTGCAAAAACTTTAGAATTAGCTGAAAAAGCTAAAATTAGCATAATGACAGCTGAAATTACAGAAAAAGATGAAATCGGCAGAAATAAGCTGGAAGGAGCATAACAAGCTGAAATTAAAGCTGCAAGCAGCGTTCAAGGCCCTCGCAGCTAAGCGCCGCTGCGGCCTCATGGCGACCGCGGG